GCTCTTTGATCGTAGGTGAACTATAAATCCCAGCAACTACAACTCCCAATGACAAAATCCCCAACCCCACTAGTATTTAAATTTGGGCGAAATTTGGGCCAAATTTGGTCCAGTGAATAAAAATACATCCTGCATATCAGATATTTACATTACGATTCATAACGGTAGCAAAATTACATGAAGTAGCAACTAAAATAAATTTTGGTTGGGGGTTACCACAACATGAGGACCTGTATTAAGGGGTCGCAGCATTAGGGAAGTTGACAATCACTGTCCTATTACTTGGCTATACATGTCCTTGTGCTTATTTGTGAAATGTTGGAGGGAATGGGAAGGTCCTCTTGTACTTGCACCCTGTTTATGGGGTTTCCCAAAGGGCTAATGCATGGAAAGAAATCTAGGCTTGACAAGCCTTTGGCTCTTAAGTACATTTTACTGTGAATGAAGTAAGAAATTAATGATTCCAGGTGACCTTGCTTTCACTCTCTCTAACATCGATTCATGAATATACTAAGACATTGCATCATCTAAGCCAATAGGTGAGCAGAAGGCTTCCCTGTTGCCAAAGCCAGCAGAACTCTCCTTCCTTGCACATTACAATACAAATGGGAAAGTCTGCAATTTAACATTTGCAAAAGGAGCACGCAGCAGGAACAGCAGAATGGCAGTTTCAGCCTTGCAGGCTCCAGATTATTATTAAAATCATCATAATCTATTATTTATTCTGCACCTCAGTCTCCATGAGGTGCCCTAACCAACAAGCTTCCAATGCAAATCAGAGATTTCTCACAAGGAGGAAGAACTGAAGGAAGGAAGACTCAAAAGCAGAAATGAAGGCGATGCAAATGAGGAAACGCTTGGCAACTCCTTCATGAGCAACAAGTTATGTCTCGTGTAATCAAAGGTTTAGCCATCAGATCTTTGATAAGCTTTAAATCATTTCAGTTTCAAATGCAAGATTTAAGGAAAACTTGCGACAAGAGCAAGTGAAGATTAGAATTTTAGAGAAATATCACTATTATTAATTTCCAGAAAGACACCTCTTGCTTTTTGACAGCTAACTTTCTGACATGTTGTTCTTTCAACCTCCTTATACCCAGAACCCATTTGAGTGAAGTTTTTGTAGATACATGTTGTTTTTACTGCAAATGAATACTTTATACTATAGAAGTTGTACAGTTATGCACGAACCAATTGTACAGGTGTGGATGATTATGGAGGGAATTAATCTCAGGCCTCAATTGTGTATAAGAATATATTATAGAGGAGGCCAATTATTACTTGTAAATTAAGGTAACTGCCACCAACGTGAGGTATTTGAGGTACCACCGATGAGATCTGGCTTTACAGACGCAGATTAATTGAGATGAGACGGTCTTCAACAAAAGATAACAAGTTTATTGTGTACAAAGCGTATGGTTGCAGGCTGTTAAATAACTTATAGAACTTTGAATATCACTTGGTTTGTAATACAGTCCACTCTTCCAAATAACACAGCTCGTGGCTAACTTTTACTGAGGTGAAGCTCTTTAGTGAACACTGTTTCCTACTATGAATAGCCTTCCAATTTGATCTTTCCTTGATCAAATCTCTGATCTCTAGTTCTTCCTTGACTAGTGATCTTAACAAGCTTCCTTTAGTCTTCCTTGACTAAAGAAACTGGCCAGGTTTTTCTCTTCAGCCCTTCTAGACCGAAAAACCTCCAGCTGCTCACACACACCTCTCTCCCAGGCTTTTCAAGCCTCCACACTCACACATACACACACACACACTCACATTGCCCCTTTTCCAAAGACGCACATAACTTTTCCTGCTTGGCTCCGCCCACTTCTCACTCTCCTGAGCTAGCCTGCCTGGTCTCCTTGGCAACGCTCACTGTGGATTCAAACCAGATCACTCTAGTTTTAGCTACTGTTACAAACACAAATATATACTCTAACAGTTAAACACATACATAGTATCAATGACTTCTGCACAGAAGTCATTCGTGATGTCTCTCTTCTTATACAGCACAGTAGTTCTGCTTATAATAGTGAACAATGGCAAATGGAAAGAAGACTTTAGAAACCCGCGACACTGAATTAACCCAGACTTGGATTTGATTTTTAACTGGTGTGTTTAATCTATTGTTTTAATGAATTGTTTTAATGTTTTAATATATTGTTGATTGTTTATGAGATTGGTAGAATCATATGGTGCTTGTTTTAAGGCTGCCCTGAGTCCCCCCTTGAGGGGAGAAGGGTGGGGTATAAATATAATAAATAAATAATAAATAAATAATACTCATTTTCTCTTTATAATACATCTATCTATCTATCCACATTTTCCAGAAACATTCAATATTAGAGTGTGTGGCATGTTTTTTTTTTTTTTGTCGTGCCAGGAGTGACTTGAGAACCTGCAAGTCGCTTCTGGTGTGAGAGAATTGGCCGTCTGCGAAGACGTTGCCCAGGGGACACCCAGATGTTTTGACATCCTTGTAGGAGGTTTCTCTCATGTCCCTGCATGAGAAGCTGGAGCTGATAGAGGGAGTTCATCTGCGCTCTCCCCAGATTCGAGCCTGCGACCTGTTCGTCTTCAGTCCTGCCAGCACAGGGGTTTAACCCACTGTGCCACCGGGGGCTCCTGTGGCATCTTAAAACAAAAACAATGTAGTAAAGGTAAAGGTTTTCCTCTGAAATTAAGTCCAGTTGTCTCTGGGGGTTGGTGCTCATTTCCATTCTAAGCTGAAGAGCTGGTGTTGTCCGTAGACACCGCCAAGTTCATGTGGCCAGCATGACTGCATGGAGCACCGTTACCTTCCTGCTGGAGCGGTACCTATTGATCTACTCACATTTGCATGTTTTCGAAATGCTAGGCTGGCAGAAGCTGGGGCCAACAGCAGGAGCTCACCCCACTCCCTAGATTCGAACCTATGATCTTTTGGCCAACACGTTTAGTAGCTCAGCGGTTTAACCCACTGCACCACCGGGGGCTCCCAATGTGGTTTTCTACAAACAAGTTTCCCCATAAAAACTGCATTTTTGGTGCATTTTTTTTAATTTGGAGGGAATGTGCGAATAAGAGCTGCATAGAAATATTCATTTTGATCCGAAGTATGAATTAAATATGAAATTATGCACACCCCTATTACACACACATGTGTTGTCAAAGGTTTTCACACACACACATATTCAATTGAATACAAATTGTATATAGGAACAGGATGAACTAGTGCTGCGTGCCTATTCTTTGGCACAAGAAAACCCCAAAGAATACTCTTCCATTAGGGCTTCAGCCCCCCCTGAAATTCTCATGGTGGTCCGCGAGAAGGCCTTACTTGTACATTATTTAAACTGTTATGTTTATTCATATAATAATCTGATCACCATGCTCAATATATTCCATACGCATGGGGGTATTGGGGTAACGTTACAAAAGGTTTGCTAGGGTAGACCCTCTTTCACTCCCCCCCCCCCCCCCCTCTGAATCAAAATCCTGGCTACGGGCCTGATTAGGTATAACGAAAGGCAAATGTGCCATTTGACACACTTTCATCTTATGGAGTCTGCATTTTCTTTCTCCAAATATTTTTTCTTGGTGAAATATCATTTCTTTGGCAGAAATGCCTAATCCTTAGCAAGAAAGGGCACGATGCACTGCATGCACACATTGTCTACCCTTTGCCTTTTCCTTTATTGGCTTTAAGGCAAGTTTCCTGATTTTCCAGTATGAGGAAGCAGAGCAAAAACTTTTTAGTGTCTTTAGGAACTTTTGCCTCCCTTTCTCTGAACTTTTCTGAATCGGCACAGGGCTTAAGGCAGGCTCCCTGCCCAGTTTGATGACTAATAAAGTAGAAGTTATGCTCAAATACACAGATTTGCTTAGTTTGCATACTCCTCAGCAACGGATTCCGATACTCCTTGGCACAAGCTTTAGGTTATGTGATGAGAGGTCTCTGCCTAGAGAAGCCCATTTTTATCTCAAAAGACTATGCTCTTCAATAAGCTTATAATCTCACTCAACAGGCTGCCAGAAATCCAACTTTAGCGGGTAACACTTCTCACTCAACCACTGACTACCCGCTGCCTTTCTGAACCAGTTCCCATGGAAACAGGGGCCTGACAAGAAGGAAATAGGGTAAAAAAGAGATTTTAAGTCATCCTTATTTCAAAATTTCTATCTTTTTTTGCCACATTCCATTCCCTGTTCGCATGGAAACAAAGAGTATGAAAGCAGTAGGAGACATGAGTGAAAGGAGCTTGCTCCTTTTGCCTCTCCAAGACTTAAATCCCATTCCAAGACTCTCTGAAAGTTTTTGTCAGTTCAACACAAGATGTGTTTACTTGAGAAAAAGAATCAAAGTTTAACTCCGTAATTGCATATAATGGTAGAATTCTTACTCTGGAAGATCAGGATGAAAAAGATCTTGTTGCACCTTGGAGACTAAGGGCCTTTCTACACAGCCATATATCCCATAATATCAAGGCAGACAATCCACAATATCTGCTTTGAACTGTATTATCTGAGTCCACACTGCCAGATAATGCAGTTCAATGTGGATTTTATACAGCTGCGTGGAAGTGGCCTAAGGCTCCATCACTGTCATATAATGTAGTGGTGAATCCTTAGTCTAATGCAATGGTTTCCAACCTTTGTTTTAAACCAGGGACCCTTTGACTAGGGATTACTTTGACCAGGAACCATTTTGACCAGAGACTACTATGACCAGGGACCTCTCCAACATTAGTACCAAAAGGGTTACAAATCAGTTTTTGGTCAACTTTAGATTCAGTTTGGTTATTTGAGGTGCTGATTCAGAAAATTGCATTGGATAGACCACGTCAGCTCTAGTTTCTGATACAAAACATATGTCATCCAGTAATTGCAATCTGTTCGCCCACAGAAAACCATATTCAATAAGTCTCGGCACTAGAAGAGGGTTTCGAAAGACCAGTTGCTCTTGTTGCAATGGTGTAGTAACAGTGAGGTCACGGACCATATTTTAGGCTTTACTCTTCCCTGCTCCTGCCACCATGGCGCCCGCGAAGAAGCTGGCGATGAAAGGTGGCAAGAAGAAGAAACAGGTCTTGAAGTTCACCCTGGACTGCACGCACCGCGTCGAGGACGGGATCATGGACGCTGCCAACTTTGAACAGTTCCTTCAGGAGCACATCAAAATCAATGGGAAAACCGGGAACCTGGGCGGGGGCGTCGTGACCATCGAGAGGAGCAAGAGCAAGATCACCGTCACCTCCAAGGTCCCCTTCTCCAAAAGGTACCTGAAGTACCTGACCAAGAAGTACCTGAAGAACAACCTGCGCGACTGGCTGCGCATGGTGGCCAACAGCAAGGAGAGCTACGAGTTGCGCTACTTCCAGATCAACCAGGACAAGGAAGAAGAGGAGGAAGATTGAGCAGCGTATCCCCCCCCCCAAAAAAAAAAACAAAACAAAAGGATCTAGGGAGATTTTGTACATTTTCCTTCAATAAAATGCACCAATAACGGTTAAAAATTTTTTTTAGGTTTTACAGACCACTGAGTGTCCATGGATCACAGGTTGGGAACCACTCATCTAATGTGATAAGATCTCTAAATTGCATTATGAAACTATAGTATATGGGAATATAGGTGGGACCTAAGAGAATAAAGTTGGTACCATATGGTTCTGTTGACTAAGGTTGGATCTACTCTTCCATTGAACTGCATTATATGGCAGTGTAGATTCATATAGAGTCATAGAATAACATCGATGGCCCATATGGAAAAGACCATATGGGCCATCTAGTCATGCAGGAAAAGCTCAATGTAGTGAATCTGCATTCTTAAACTGGATGATATGGTAGATCCAGCCTGGGGGTATATCTACAAGGTCCTGTCTCATGCCCAAAGACATTGGAATGGGCTAGGAATTGAATGATAGACAGAAGTTTCAGGAGAAATCTCAGGTTCTACTTGGCTATTCCACTAGCATCTGTAGGCTGAGGAAATTTGCTTCACTCTGCCCAATTATAAGGTTGTTCTTGCAATGTATGTGTGGGTCTGATTATACAAGGAACCCTATGTACTCCATATGTTATTCTCCTATTTTATGTGAGGGAATAAATGCACACCACATCCAAGGATTCCCTTTGGGGCCTCATACATTCATTCCCGTTGTCCCCTCCCCATTCTTACATTGCTTTCCTCCTTCAAAGGTGTCAGTTAGCTGCTTCACAAATGTATTATTAAATGATATTTCATGGGCAAAGATAGACAAACAACTGTGCAGAGTGTGTACTGTTTGCAAAGAAGCATTTAAAAGATTGACATTTTGTAATTCACTATTTACATGGACGGAAAGAGCAAGCATGCAAAATCATTCAGCATTGCACGATCCATCTCATAACTCTGAATTAGTTGCATTCATGAGAAATGTGTTCCAGTTAGCCAGTCACCCTCACTGTGGTGAAATGTATTGACTTTCTATTTAATTGTTTGTAGATGTTTTTATATCTAAAGGTTAAAAATATACTAATGGACACCAACACCCCCCCCCCACCCCTTTATATTGCACATGATTCAACTAGATTTAAATGAGAGAGATTACAATGCTTTTGGTTAGGAAGAAACTATAATTTGGTGATTATCTCACCTGTTGAAAACAATAATTTTTCAACAATATTTATGGCATTATTAATATATATATTTCATGTGCACATTACTTTCTGGTGCTCTTCTTTATCAAGGTCACTCTTCTCTTTGAAGAGTTGTCCACACAATATCCAGTTTAGAGTTTAAAAACAACTAAGGCTTACTGTCAATCATCCGTAGAGAGTGCATAGACATTCAGTGTGCTACCTGCTTAAAGTCTTTGTTCACATATTAACTCGAGACTGGAACAGACTCTTGTTGTTTATTTGTTCAGTTGATCTCATGGACCAGCCCACATCAGAGCTCCCTGTTGGCCTTTGCCACCCCAAGCTCCTTCAAGGTCAAGCTAGTCACTTCAAGGATACCATCCTTCTTGCCCTTGGCCGGCCCCAATTCCCTTTACCTTCCATTTCCCTCAGCATCATTGTCTTCTCCAAACTTTCCTGTCTGCTCATGATGTGGTCAAAGTACTTCATTTTTGCCTCTAATATCCTTCCCTTCAGTGACCAGTCAAGATTTATTTCCTGAAGGATGGACTTGTTTGATCTTCTTGCAGTCTAAGGCACTCTCAGAATTTTCCTCCAACAACACAGTTCAAAAGCGTCTTCGCTCAGCCTTCCTTATGGTCCAGCTCTCACATCCGTAGGTGACTATGGGGAATACCATTGCTTTAACTATGCGGATCTTCATTGCCAGTGTAATGTCTCTACTCTTCACTACTTTATCGAGATTGGTCATTGCTCTCCTTCCAAAAAGTAAACGTTTTCTGAAATTGCTCCTAGAAATACATATTATGTCACTGCCTCCATGTTTTCTCCCTCTATTTGGTAGTTATCAATCCATCTGGTTGTCATAATCTTGGCTTTTTTTATCTTTAACTGCAACCAAGCTTTTGCCCTTTCTTCTTTCACCTTGGTTAGAAGGTTCCTCAGCTCCACCTCGCTTTTGGCCATCAAAGTGGTATCATCTGCATATCTAAGGTTGTCAATGTTTCTTCCAGCAATGTTAAGTCCAGCCTTGGATTCATCAAGCCCCGCATATAGCATGATGTGTTCTGCATACAAGTTGAATAGGTTGGGTGAGAGTATATAGCCCTGGTGTATTCCTTTCTCAATCTTGAACCAGTAAGTTGTTCCATGGTCTGTTCTTACTGTCGCTACTTGATCATTATACAGATTCCTCAGGAGACAGATAAGGTGACTTGGGATCCCCATACCACCAAGACATTTCCACAATTTATTATGATCCACATAGTCAAGGGCTTTAGAACAGTCAATAAAACAGAAATAGGTGTTTTTCTGAAACTCCTTACCTTCCTCCATTATCCAGCGGATATTGACAATTTGGTCTCTTGTTCCTCTGCCTTTTCGAAACCCAGCTTGTACATCTGGCAACTCTCTCTCTCCATGTATTGCTGAAGTCTACCTTGCAGGATCTTGAGCATTACCTTATTGGCATGTGAAATAAGTGCCACTGTATGAAAGTTTGAGCATTCTTTAGCATTTCCCTTTTTTGGTGTGAGGATATAAGTTGATAAGAGACTCTTACACATGATCAAACAGATGCTATTGTATTTTGGCCATATCATGAGAAGACAAGGCTCACTAGTTCTTGGTAAAGTAGAAAGCAGCAAGAAAACAAGAAGACTGTATTCCAAATGGGTTTTCAAGAACCCAGGAGAGATATTAAGGATGGAAAGACTTAGAGGCCACTCATTCATGGGGTCACCCTAAGTTGACTTGATGGCAGTTAACAACAACAAAGAAGGAGCACAGAATCAGATGAAATCTCACAGAAGGGTCACATGTCTATTTATACATATATGCAAAAATTATTACTATTAAGAGAAATACGTTTCTTCATCGAAGGGAAGATGCTTTCCTGGTGACCATGCACCTGCTTATTGCTGTTCAGGAGCTTTGTCTCATTTTTCAGTGTTTGAGAACCTTTTAACTGGACTTGAACTAGTTGGACTGTCAAACATAGGATACTTGCAAATGGAAAATAGCCTTCTAACACCCCTTCCAGGACAGAATGGTAAAACAGGACACATGGCGCTCAAGGTGTTATGACAAAGCTGTCGCCGGCCCAGAAAGGAGTAAGACATTGTGTACAATGGGGAAGAATGAACAAGAAAGAAACAAGTTGAGTGCTAGAACAGTCATTTTCACCATTTGTCCAGGAGATCAGTTGGATTCAACACTAATTCCCAAAATTCATGTAAGCTGACATAAATGTAGCCACATATGTGACAATCATAATGGTAGTTATAACAGCATTCTCCAAAACTGATATCTTCCATGGCTTCTCTTAGTCCCAGCTAACATAATTGCATGATGGTACTGTAGTATAAAATATCTGGAGTATCAAGCTGGAAAAGATAGACGGTAATTAGAGTGTGAGAGAAACTCGTTGAAATTCCTTCTCAAACAGCAAGATGAAATTTCAAGGTGACCTTGGCCTTTCAGCCTGACTTGTTTCACAAGGTCTCAGAGACCATCTGAAGATAGAGGAGGAAATCATCAGTTTTGTCCACAGGTGTGATACCACTAGAAATGTCATGTATAGATTTTGACTTCCATGCCATGATTAGGGGCAGAGGGGAATTAAGGAGGTGGGAAACAAGGACCATATACACGTGGAACATGGAGATCTTCAGATGTTGCTAGACTGCATCCCTATTGCATCTCATCAGTGCAGTCAATTGTGAGAAACTGTGGGCTTTTCAATCCACAAAAATCTGGAGAACCACAGCTGCCCCAACCCTGATATATTTTCAAGGATAGGATGCACATGCAACACATTGCAAAACACAGCCTTGTACCAACTTTACATCATATACTGATGGCCAAGGTGGCCAATTCACACCTACTTCAAACAGGCAAGAGTTTTTTCTCCCACCCTGGACATTATTCCACAGATATATAAGCCTCATTTTCCTAGTTTCCAACAGACCTCACCACCTCTGAGGATGCTTCCATATATGCAAGTAAAACATCAGGACAGAATTCTTTTGGAACATGGCCATACATCCCAGAAAACACACAACTGAATAAGAAAAATGTTCCAGCAGTAAGATCTGCTCAACAGTGTAAGTACCGGGAATGTGGCGAAGCTGGCTGGGAGACAGCTGCATTAAGATCATTACTGACCAAAAGGTCATGAGTTCGAAGCCAGCCTGGGTCAGAGTAAGCTTCTGATCAATTTGTGTAGCATGCTGTCAACCTTTGCAGCCCAAAAGACAGTTGCATATGTCAAGTAGGACATTTAGGTACCGCTTATTCGGGGAGGTTAATTTATAATGCCATAAAAATCTCCAGGAAGCATGCAAAGAATGAGGAAGTACTTAAACAGTGTTACAAATGGATGGTGAAGCAACAGCTCCCCTGGTGGCTAGAATACCCTCATCAAAAAGCTGGTATGTACCAGAAGTTCAAAAAAAGTACTGTAAATGAAATTTAAGAAGCTTGAAACTGTTTCATTTCTAAAAACACAGCAAAGATCTTAAAGTGTGAAGAGAAGTGTGAAGAGACAAACATATTATAAGCGAAGACACAGAATGGAAGTCAAACAATTTTTGTGTTTTGTTTTTTTCTTTCTTTTTCTTCTTCTGTTTTCCTATATTGATTTCTAAAATTTCTTACTATCCTATAACCAAATGTTTCCCCACTTTCCTTGTAAACCTCTTTCTTTTAAAGATATATATAACTTAATAAAATTTATTTGAAAAAAAAAAGCTGGAATGTTGAATAGCCTCTGTGTATCTGTCTATATATGTTGTGTGTCTATGGCACT